CAGGCCAAGCTCTGAGCCCGGCGCCTCGTACATGGTAATTACTCCAGAAATGTGTGTATTTGCTATTACTGATTGAGAACAGGGCACAGGCAGGACAAGGGGAAGAAAGAAGGAAAGAGGCGGAGATCCATGTGGAAGGAGCCCATCGGGGATGAAATTGCAGGCCCAAGAGCCGGGGCTGGACTCCCTGAAATGGGGGAGCCTTTAGGATGGATGAAGGGACAGAATTCTACAATGACATTGTAGCAGAGGCTGCCCGGGATAAAACATCAGGACACGTCTGGATATGATCCAAGCCAGCCTCGAGTCACAGGGCAGACCTCTTATTGCTCCTGAGAATCAGCTGACCGATGCCCAACGGACAGACAGAAGCTCCCGTCGGACACAGAGACAGACAACAAAAGCTCCCGCATCCCTCCCTCCCGATCCTGGTCTCACCTCCAGCTGTCTCAGGGCAGAGCGGCTGTCATCGTGGGACGATTGCTGCTGAGATCGCAAGAGAATGATCTCGTCCTGCCCGGAAGAGAACAAGACCATGAGGAAAAGCGGGCTCATCCCTCCCCACTGCTCCCAAAAATAAGCGTGCTCCTCAAAGAGTCGATGAGGATTTCAATGATCCGTTTCAAAGAGCCCCGAACTCCTGGGCCCCTCTTATGCCCACGGGGTTATTTTTTTTTTCTTCTGACGTTTCTTAAGTAAAAGGAGGGTGAGAGCATGAAACGGGGTAGGAGGGGTGAGTCAGCCTTTCTTTTTTTTGAGATGAAGTCTTGATGCGATGCCCAGGCTGGAGTGCAATGGTGCAATCTTGGCTCACTGCAACCTCCTCCATCTCCCAGGTTCAAGCGATTCTCCTGCCCCAGCCTCCTAAGTAGCTGGGACTACAGGCACGCACCACCATGCCCAGCTTTTTGTATTTTTACTAGAGACGGGGCTTCACCATATTGGCCAGGCTGGTCTTGAATTCCTGCCCTCAGGCGATCTGCCCACCTCGGCCTCTTCTGGAATATTCCAGAACAACACAGTCAATAGAATGTTCTGTTCTGATGGTAATGTCCTATCCGCCCTAATACTGTAGTCACTAGCCACATGGTGCTGAGCATGTGAAATATGACTGGCGCCACTAGGAACTAATTTTTCTTTTTTTTCTTTTTTCTTTTTTCTTTTTATAGAGATGGGGTCTCACTATGTTGCCTGGGCTGGTCTCAAACTCCTACACTCAAGAAATCCTCCTGCCTCAGCCTCCCAGAGTGCCGGGATTACAGGCATGAGCCACCGTGCCCAACCTCTGATGAACTAATTTTTAGATATTATTTAATTTCAGTTAATGTAACTGAAAAAGCCACACGTGGCTGGTGGCTATGGTGTTGAACAGCGTGGCTGTGGAGCAGGAGTTCTCAAACCTGAGCATACTCTCCAGAGTCACCTGGAGGCTTGTGAAAATGCGGAATGCCAGGCCCCAAGCCAAGGGCTTCTGATTCTGTCCGTCTGGGTGGGGCCTAAGAATGTGCATTTCTAACAAGTTCTCCGGTGATGCTGCCACTGCTGTCCCAGGGACCAGCTTTGAGAACCACTGGGCTTAAACCATGTGCCCTGATAGAAAAAGGCACACAACTTTCGACTGAGCAATCTCATGCCTAGGAGTCTGTCCCATGGAGACAACAGAACAGGTCAGCAAAGGTGGACCCTCAGGGCTGTCTGTTGTATTCTTGTTTAGTGGCCCCCAGTTGGGGACAATCCACCTGTCTACTGATAGGGGGTCAGTTAATGATGGCACATTCATAACACAGGGAGAGGGTCTTAGGTTAAAACATGGCAGATTCCTGGCCCATCCACAGAGAAGCTAGGTCTGTAGGTGTGTGGAGGGGGGTGGTTCTAGGGAATGTGCTTTTCTTTTCTTTTTTTAAGAAAGGGTCTCTCTCTGCCTCCCAGGCTGGAGTACTGTGGCATAATCACGGCTCAATCACGGCTCACTGAAGCCTTGACTGCGATCCTCCCATCCCACCTCAGCCTCTCAAGCACTTGGGACCACAGGCACATGCCTAATGTTTAAAAAAATTTCTGTAGACATGGAGTCTCACTGTGTTACCCAGGTTGGTCTTGAACTCCTGTGCTCAAGCAATCTTCCTGCCTCAGCCTCCCAGGGTGCTGGGATTACAGGTGTGAGCCACTGTGCCTGGCCAGGAGTACATTTTTCTGGTTTTTGGTTTGTTTATTTGTTTGTTTGAGACAAGCTCTCGCTCTTTTGCCCAGGCTGGAGTGCAGTGGTGTGATCTCAGCTTACTGCAACCTCTGCCTCTCTGGTTCAAGTGATCCTCCCATCTCAGCCTCCTGAGTAGCTGGGACTGCAGGCACGAGCCACCACGCCCAGCCTGGAATGTTCATTTTTAAGAAGCATCTTGTGATTCTGTACTACAGAGCATCTACGGTCTCCAGAAGCCATTTAAAAACACACAGTGAGGACTGGGCATGGTGGCTCACGCCTGTTATCCCAGTGCTTTGGGAGGCCAAGGCGGGCAGATCTCTTGAGCCCAGGAGTTCCAGACCTGCCTGGGAAATATGGTGATAGCCCATCTCTACAAAAAAATACAAAAATTAGCCAGGTATAGTGGTGCACGCCTGTAGTCCCCAGATACTCGGAAGGCTGAGGTAGGAGAATCCCTTGAACCCAGGAGGCGGAGGCTGCAATGAGCCGAGATCCCACCACTGCACTCCAGCCAGGCGACAGAGCAAGACCCTGTCTCAGAAAAAAAAAAAAAAAAAAAAAAGGAGAAAAAAAATAGAAGATGTTGGGAGGTATCTATGGTAAATCGTTGGGAAACAAAAGGTTTACAAAACAGCATGAACTGTCTAGTATGATCTAGTACTAAAAATTGGCTTGTAAATGAGCGTGTGTGTCTGTGTGTGCACACGTGTAACCACAGACTGCCTTCATAAAGCAGTGTCAACAAAATGTTAATTATCTCCAGGTAATGATATCTTGGTGACTTTTAATTTTTCTTTATGTTTTTCTGAATTGCCTACACTTTCCCACAGGTGTATAATAATATATTTATACAATTTGGAAAATTCTGCAAAGAACAAATACAAACCCAAATCAGGAAGAATCCCATCTCCTAACATAGTATTGCTTCATGTTTTTGGTAAGAGCTCTTTCTTGCTTTTTTCCCACCTGTAAAGATTAGAAGGCTCATCTCCTTTAATTTTTAAATTTTTATTAATTTTTCTTTGAGACAGGGTCTTGCTCTGTTGCCCAGGCTGGAGTGCAGTGGTACAATCTTGGCTCACTACAGTCTCGACCTCCCAGGCTCAAGCAATCCTCCCACTTCAGCCTCCTGAGTAGCTGGGACTACAGGCACATACCATCACACCCAGCTAATTTCTTTTTGTGTTTTGTATTTTTTGTAGAGATGGGGTTTCGCCATGTTGCCCAGGCTGGTCTCAAACTCCTGTGCTCAAGTGATCTGCCCATCTCAGCCTCCTAAAGTCCTGGAAATTTTTAATTTTTTAAAAAGCAAGAAAGAACTCTACCAAAAAGATGAAACAATGCTATGTCCATGTTATAGAATTATTCCTGATTTGGGGGTGGTATTTATACTTTTTAGTATTTTCCAAATTGTGAAAAAAAAATTCTAATCAGAAAAAAATATATTATTTTGGAAAAAAAATAGAAAGGAAGTGAGTCTTCCCATCTTTACAGGGCAGGGGTGGGGTGGGGGATCTCTACCAAAAAGATGAACCAATGCCATATACAGGTGATGGGATTCACATTGAGACTTTTTAGTAGTTTGCAAATTGCATCAATAACCTGAGTCGGTGGCACCACTCCCCTGCTTGGAGATCTCCCATGGCCCCTACTTCTCGGAGAAATGGCCAAAACCTCTTCCGGAAATGTGCCCAGCAGCCCTCACCTCCCAGATTCATCCCCTCTCCCTCCCATATCTCTCTCGGCGTGCCAGACACGCTGGCCTGCTTGCAAGCTGCGTCAGAGCCTTTGCGGGTGCTGTTTCCTCCGCCTGGAGCATTTTTCCCCAGAGATCTGGACAGCTCAATCCCTCACCTGTAAGCTCACCCAGATCTTAACTTCCCAACTGCCCGGGGCCCACAACCGGCTCCAAAACCCGGCTTACGCTGCGCTACTTCATCTTGTTACCCACACTGCATCTCCCTTTCTAACTTACTCTATAATTTGCGTAAGTATTGGGCTTGTTGCTTATTGTCTCTTTCTCCCTGCCAAAAACAGCAGTTCTGTGAGGGCTGAACTTTTTGTCATCCTGTTCACTGTCACATTATCAGGGTCTAGAGCAGTGCCTGGAACACAGTATGTGCTCAATAAATACTTGCTGGATGAATGAATAATCAAAAGGACATTTGCTTCAATCAGATACACAACTTTATATGGTAATAACTATATAAAGTTTTACATTTTAAAAGCACAACCATTGACACCAGCCTAGGCAACACACTGAAACCTCATCTCTACAAAAAATACAAAAATTAGCTGGGTGTGGTGGTGTACGCCTGTAGTCCCAGCCACTCTGGAGGCTTAGATGGGAGGATCACCTGAGCTGGGGAGATTGAGGCTGGAGTGAGCCAAGATCAAGCCACTGTACTCCAGCCTGGGTGACAGTGTGAGATCCTGCAAAAAAAGAAGAAGGAAAAAGAAAGATAGAGAGGAAGAAAAAGGAAAGAAAGAAGGCAGGCAGGCAGGCAGGCAGGCAGGCAGGAAGGGAGGGCCAAGAAATAAAAAAGTTGGAAGTTAGAAGGAAATATTTCAGAATGTCACCAGTGATTGTCTCAGGCAATGGGATAGTGGGTGGTTTAAAATTCCTTCCATCTTTAGTTGCTTTCCAGATTTTCTACAGTGAGCATATCTTTGTCCTATAACATTTTTTGCAAAATTAAGTCTTACCATTGGAAATCAGTGCTCTCTGGACTTATTCAACAGGCATTTGCAGCTCTATTTGAGCCCAAAAAAGCACAGTTCTGTAACCTTAACAAACAGCTTGGAAGCTATTGTTCTGGTCCAAACATCACTCTACAGATGAGGAAACTGAGGCCCACAGAGGGCAGCGCTTACCCATCTTAGACACATTTGTCATGACCCTAAGGAAGAGGGTCCCCTTATGAGGAGTGGGGAAAATCAAGGCCAAGTCAGCTCAGGAATATTTTCTATCAGGTCAGGATATCCAGCCGGGGTCCTCACACACTCTGCTAGGGCTTGTCCTCAATGTCCCACTGGGGCCCAAGAATTCAGGGTCTTGCCCACTTCCAGGCGGGCCCGCAAAGACCTTCCCTGCGATACCGCAAATGGCCGCCAGAGGGCAGTGGTGACGCGCCTGAACCTCAGCAACTCAAAGGCCCGCTAACCTCTGCGGGCCGCGGAGCGCTTCGGTCCCGCTTGTCTCTGTGAGCTAAGAGGGAGCCAATGGCTCCGTTTGTAGGAACTCGGATTCCCGCGGGAATGTGGGCGGGAAGAGTCAGATCTGATTTTCCAAGAGAAACCAGAAATGCAGGGTTTCATGTGGAATATCCTGGTTTTTAAATCACTGCCACTAAGAATTTAACAACTTGGGGAAGTGGAGGAAACCAAACGAAACTAAAACAGAAGGCTGGGGCCGGGCGCGGTGGCTCACGCCTATAATCCCAGCACTTTGGGAGGCCGAGGCGGGCGGATCACGAGGTCAAGAGATTGAGACCAGCCTGGCCAACATGGTGAAACCCCGTCTCTACTAAAAATACAAAAATTAACTGGGGGTGGGGGCGCTCGCCTGCAGTCCCAGCTACTCCGGAGGCTGGTTTATGAGTCTCCACCCCCAGCCCTCTAGGGAGGGGTGCAGTCAGATTCCAGAATCCTAATGGTGTGTGTTTTTGTTAGTTTGTTTGTTTGAGACAGAGTCTTGCTGTCTCCCAGGCTGGAGTGCAGTGGCTCACTGCAAGCTCCGCCTTCCGGGTTCACGCCATTCTCCTGCCTCAGCCTCCTGAGTAGCTGGGACTACAGGCGCCCGCCAGCACACCCAGCTAATTTTTTGTATTTTCAGTAGAGACGGGTTTTCACGTGTTAGCCAGGATGGTCTCGATCTCCTGACCTCGTGATCCACCCACCTCGGCCTCCCAAAGTTCTGGGATTACAGGCGTGAGCCACCGCACCCGGCCTCCTAATTGTTTTTAATTAAAAAAAAAAAATTTTTTTTTTAACCTGATCCCTTAGTTTGAGCAAAGATGCCACAAGAAGGCAAAAAGGTAGGGTCCCAGCCCCCTCGCATGGCCCATCCCACCCCCACTCCTCCATCCAGGTCTGCTCCATTTCCTATGTTTTATATACCAGTGTTTCCTCAAAACATGGAATTAAACAAAAGCGTTCTGTATGGCCGGGCGTGGTGGCTCACCCCTGTAATCCCAACACTCTGGGAGGCTGAGGCACACAGATAACCTGAGTTCAGGCATTCGAGACCATCCTGGCCAACATGGTGAAACCTTGTCTCTACTAAAAATACAAAAATTAGCCAGGCATGATGGCTCATGCCTGTAGTCCCAGCTACTCAGGAGCCTGAGCAGGAGAATCGCTTGAACCCGGGAGGTGGAGGTTGCAGTGAGCCGAGATCGTGCCACTATACTCCAGCCTGGGTGACAAAGCAAGACTCTGTCTCAAAAAAAAAAGAAAAGAAAAGAAAGAAAAAGAAAAAACAAACTTTTGTAGCTTTTTACATAGAAGTTTGAAACTTTTTTTTATAAAAAGAGTTTGGACTTGGAGGACTCCTCTAGTCCAAGTGTGTGTGCCATTCTACAGATAGAGAGACGGAGTCCCAGAGCGCCTGCACTTGTCCTTGTGCGGGAGATGCTGTGCAGCTGCGGGAGGAAAGGAGAGAGCAGCCTCAAGGTGAATGGGAGGTCTAGGTCATTTCTGGGGAAGAACCATTTCCTGTGCCTGTCCTGGACCCTCGTCCAGGAAGACCTCCTTCCAGGAGGGGGACAGAGAGTGGCATGAGGGTCCTTCAAGTCTGTCTTCCCCACCCCCAGATGCACCTCCCACCCTGCACCTCCCCATGCCCTGCCTGGGACCTGCGGGGCTTGTACCTATGGGCTCCCTTGTGCTTGGCTGCTGGGCAGCCCAGCCAGTGGGAGGCACAAGTGGGAGATAAAGGGTGGGAGGAGAGGGAGGTTGGGGTATTTGCCACCCCCTGGGTCCATCCCTAGTGTGGCTGCACCAGTCCAGGAAGGGCATAGCAGGCAGCCATCTCCTCATTCCTCCCTCCCCTGACCCATTTTGGAGCTCTGGCTGTTCCCACGTGCTGCCTTCTTAATTTCCTCAAATGTCTGGAAACAGCCCCTTTTTAAAAACTCTCCTCAATTTACCCATTTTATTTTTGGGTTTTGGTGGTTTTTTGGGGTGGGTTTTTTGTTTTTGTCTTTGTTTTTTGAGATGGAGTCTCGCTCTATCGCCCAGGCTGGAGTGCAGTGGCGCCATCTCGGCTCACTGCCACCTCTGCCTCCCAGGTTCGAAGGAGTCTCCTGCCTCAGCCTCCCGAGTAGTGGGATTGCAGGTGCCCGCCACCACGCCCAGCTCATTTTTTGTATTTTTAGTAAAGACAGGATTTCACTATGTTGCCTAGGCTGGTCTTGAACTCCTGACCTCAGGTGATCCACCTGCGTCAGCCTCCCAAAGTGCTGGGATTACAGGTGTGAGCCACCTTGCCTGGCCAATTTACCCATGTTGGCTGTGCTGTTTCCTGTGACAACCCTAGCTGATAAAGTCACCTTCACTCCATTTTTTGCAGCCACATGGACTGTTATCTATAATAGTTGTCTGTAAACCAAACCATTCTGTTTATTATGTTTATTATTCTTTGTTTACTGTTATTACTTACTACCCTAAGTAAATATCCATTAAATCACAAGTTTGCTCTGGAAGCTCTATTATTCCTTTAAAAATTAATTCATCACTAGTAAATGAAAATATTTTTACCTATATTCTAGCTGCAATCTATTTGCACATGGCCAGCATGCATACCCCACATGTGGGAAACAGTGATATATTGCACAGGAAAGCAGCTCCCCTCATCACGTAAGCAGAGGACAGGGCCCTCAGAAGAAGGAGTAATGAATTCCCAGAGGAGGCAACATTTGTGCAGGGTCAGGACTAATGCGCAGGATTTCATCAGAAGAGAAAAGGAGGGGAGAGAGATGGAACAGCACGGGGAAGACACTGGCGGAGGGAAATGCATGGGACAGCTGGGGCTGGCAGCAGCAGAGGGTGTCTTGGAGGTCACAACAGGACCTGTGTCTGCAAAGGCAGGTAGGAGCCAAATTTTGAAGGGGCTGGAATGTCACACTAAGGGGTTTAGACTCTATTCCATGCAGATAGTTCCAAAGGATGTTTATTTATCTACTGGCATGTAAATAGCCCAGGACGCCAGTGACATTTGGGAAATTATGGGTTCAACAAAGGTAGGCAGGTTTCTTTACTGCAGGACTTGTCAGGGCCTTTACTATGCTCATGTGCATCAAGTCTCACCAAGATAAGAATGAGTTATCTCTCCTCGAAACTGTTAATTCACAAGGGTCAGGTAAGGGGCCAAATAAGAAATACTTTCAGCTTTGCAGGTCCCTCTTGCATATTTCTCTCTCTCTCTTTTTTTTCTCTTCTTACAATCCTTTAAAAATGTAAAAATCATTCTTGGCTCATGGGCTGCACAGAAACAGCCATGGACTGTAGCTTGCTGAACGCTGGTTAATAAAACACGCCATGGATTATAAAGTCACTATTGGGTTGGGGGACATGAAAACATTAAATGTAGGTATCCATTGTTACAGGCCAGGCATGGTGGCTCACATCTATAATCCCAGCACTTTGGGAGGCTGAGGCAGGCAGATCGCTTGAGGCCAGGAGTTTGAGACCAGCCTGGCCAACATGATGAAACCTCGTCTCTACTAAAAATACAAAAAAAAGAGAGGGCATTGTGGTGGGCGCCTGTAGTCCAGCTACTCCGGAGGCTCAGGCGGGAGAATCTCTTGAACCCGGGAGGTGGAGGTTGCAGTGAACCAAGATCATGCCACTGCACTCCAGCCTGGATGACAGAGCAAGACTCCATCTCAAAAACAAAAATACAAATAAAAAGTAAGGGGACAGTGGGAGCAATGGTTCACATTTGTAATCTCAGTACTTTGGGAGTCCAAGGCGGGAGGCTCGCTTGAGGTCAGGAGTTCGAGACCAGCCTGGGCAACATGGCAAAATCCCAACTCTACAAAAAATGCAAAAATTAGCCAGGCATGGTGGTGCACACCTGTAGTCCAGATGACTCAGGAGGCTGAGATGCAAGGATCATTTGAGCCCGGGAGGTCGAAGCTGCAGTGAGCCAACATCGCATCACTGCACTCCAGCCTGGGTAACAGAGTAAGACCCTGTCTCAAAAATAAAATGTAGGGGTAATAGAGGGGTGTTGACCAAACTGCTTTCTATAGTGCCTCTCACAGAGCCTTCCTGGGAGACTGCTCTGGAAAGGCTGCTGTGGACACAGGGGCCCCAGGGCCTAGGAAAGCAGAGCCACCCTGACCTGGATTCGTTGGGTCCTCTTGTGCATCATCTCCATGTCGTTGTTGAGCTCCGTGACATACGTGAACCGAGCAAAATTCTTCTCCTCCTTGGCCAGAAAATCTTCAATGAGCTGATTTAGGTTCCCACTCTCAGCCAGCTTCAGCAGCCGGAGGTGGGCCACCTCGTAGCTCTCAAAACTCTCTCCCTTGCTCTTCTTGACATGCTTCTTCGCCTGGAGAGCTAAGAAAGGAAAAATCAGCCACTGTGACACTCAAAAGGAAGCGCCTCAGATCCATGCCAGGCAGACAGTAGCGTGATCAATATTATCATTATGGTCAGGCATGGTGACTCACGCCTGTAATCCCAACACTTTGGGAGGCCAAGGCAGGCGGATTACCTGAGGTGGGGAGTTCGAGACCAGCCTGGCCAACATGGTGAAACCCCGTCTCTACTAAAAATACAAAAATTAGCCAGGTGTGGTAGCACGTGCCTGCAATCCCAGCTACATGGGAGGTTAAGCCAGGAGAATTGCTTGAACGCGGGAGGCAGAGGTTGCAGTGAGCCGAGTTTGCGTCACTGTACTCCAGCCTGGGTGACGGAGCAAGACTCCATCTCAAATAAATAAATCAATAAAAATAAATATATATATATACACACACATAGATATACATATATGTGTGTATGTGTATATATATTTATATATACGTAGTAGTAGTAGTAATAGTAGTAGTAGTAGTAGTAGTAGTAGTAGTAATAGTAGTAGTAGGAGGAGGAGGAGTAGGAGTAGGAGTAGTACTAGTAGTAGTATGCCTTAGGGATGAGGTTAGATGTTTCCAGGAGATAGAGCAGAAGCTTCACCCATCATTCATTTCACAAATATCTCCTGAAGCATTTACTATGAACCACACACACTGTGCTAGGCACTGCTGATACAAAATCCCTGCCCTGGCCGGGCATGGTAGCTCACACCTGTAATCCCAGCACTTTGGGAGGCCAAGGTGGGAAGATCACTTGAGCCCAGGAGTTTAAGACCAGCATGGACAACATAGCAAGACCGCACCTTGACAAAAAAATTTTTTAAATTAGGCCGGGTGCAGTGGTTCATGCCTGTAATCCCAGCACTTTAGGAGGCCAAGACAGGCGGATCACAAGGTCAAGAGATCAAGACCATCCTGGCCAACATGGTGAAACCCCGTCTCTACTAAAAACATACAAAAATTAGCTGGGTGTGGTGGCGTGTGCCTGTAGTCCCAGCTACTCAGGAGGCTGAGGCAGGAGAATCACTTGAACCCAGGAGGTGGAGGTTGCAGTGAGCCGAGATCATGCCTCTGCCCTCCAGGCTTGGCAGCAGAGCAAGACTCCATCTAAAAAGAGAAAAAACATTTAAAAAATTAGCCAAGTGTCGTGGTGAGTGCCTGTGGTCCTAGCTACTTGGGAGGCCAAGGTAGGAGGATGGCTTGGACCTAAGAGGTCAAGGCTGAAGTGAGCTATGACTGTCACAGCACTGCACTCCAGCCTGGGAGAAAGAACAAGACCCTGTTTCTTAAAAAAAAAAAAAGGATCTTTTAGGCACACCTGACCATGTGACCTTTTACAGGTAGTGGCTCCCCACTGTTTTGGTGAGGCTCAGGCGATCCTCCCATCTCAGCCTCCCCAGTAGCTGAGACCACAGCAAGTGTCACCATGCCCAGCAGTTTATCCCAAACAGCTACTTTTCCTCTGGGGGTCTAGAATGTTGGTATGTGCTAGGCAGAGGATGTCTACACGACCAGCCCCCAGTAAGAATTTGGGGCACAGAATCTCTAGTATACCCCACTATGAGACAACCTTTTTTTTTTTTTTCCAAGAGACAGGGTCTCACTCTGTCACCCAGGCTGGAGTGGTGCAATCATAGCTTGCTGCAGGCTCAAACTCCTGGGCTTAGGATCTGCTTTTTTCTACCCCTCAGCACCTTGTCACCATCAGACCTCCTGAGATCAAGCCATCCTCCAACCTCAGCCTCCCGAGTAGCTGGGACTACAGGCACGTACCACTATGCCCAACTAATTTTTTGAATTTATTATAGAGATGGGGTCTTGCTCTGTTGCCCAGGCTAGTCTCAAACTCCTGGCCTCAACTCCTGATCCTCCCGCCTTGGCCTTCCAAAGTACTGGGATTATAGGCATAAGCCACCATGCCCAGCCCAGTAGATAACTCTTGACATGTGTGGTCACAGTTAGATCCTGGAAGAACCACGTGTGCTCAGTGTGATTCTACTGGGAAGCTTGCGCCCAGTTTCCTCCAGACACCAGACCACACACCTTATCCCCGTGTTGACCTTGCTTGGCACCTTTTCACTGTAATGCATCACAGCCGTGCAGGTGCCTCTGTGCTGAGTCCTGCGAGATATTCTAGTGAGTCATCAAACCTAGAGATGAACTTGGGGACCCCGACAATAAGTCTCCCTCTAAACAATAGAAAGAGAGCCCCAAATGAAGACACATGCCGTAAATTAGGGTTGGCAGATAAAATAGAGGGTTCCCAGTTGAATTTGAATTTCAGACAAATATACTTTTAAGTATAAATATGTCCCAATTATAGATAAACAAAAAGTTTTATCAGAAGTATGTCTCAAATGCTGCATGAGACATAGTTATCCTTATTTATTTATTGTTTATTTTATATTTAAACTTAACCAGGTTTTTTTTTTTTTTTTTTTTTTTTGAGACAGGGTCTCAGAGTCTTATTCTGTTGCCCAGGCTGGAGTGCAGTGGCATGATCTTGGCTCACTGCAACCTCTGCCTCCCGGGTTCAAGTGATTCTCCTGCCTCAGCCTCCCAAGTAGCTGGGATTACAGGTACTCACCACCATGTCTAGCTAATTTTTTTGTATTTTTAGTAGAGACAGGGTTTCACCACATTGGTCAGGCTGTTCTCAAACTCCTGACCTCAAATGATCAGCCTGCCTTGGCCTCCCAAAGTGCTGGGATTATAGGTGTGAGCCACAGTGCCCGACCTTAACTAGGCATTTTATATCTTTATTTGCTAAATTTGGCAACCACAAGGAGACTTGGGCACCTTCACTTAAAAAGAGAGAGAGAAAGAAGGCAAGAAAGAGAGCGAGAGAGCACAAGTTTGCTCCTGGAGAGTGTACCTTCCTCCCTTTTGGCCTGCTCCTCGAATTCATTGCGGTCATTCAGCTTGACAAGCAGGAAGGACTTGAGCCTGCTCTCGTGGGCATAGAGATGCTCCAGCTCTCGGATCTCCAGCTTGTACTGAGAGATGTCCTTCTTCTGGCGGTCCTTCATGGCAGCCATTCGAGCCATGGCCTCCACCCTGGGCAAAAGGTACAGAGCCTGAGCATCTGAGGCTCCTCCTCTCTGCTTCCCTTTCCCTGCCAGTCCAGAAGGCCTTCCTGCCTAGACAATGACTATCACTTTTATTAATCATAATGGTTTCTGGTTGTGTAAAAACAACCCTCCTTACCTGAACAACAAGAGCTGTAAGCTCTAGATCACTCCCAGAAATGATTTTCCTATCATTATCATCATCATTGCCTTCAGCATCACCATCATCATCACCACCATCACCATTACCACTATCACCATCACTACTATCATCACCATTATCACCATCACTACCATCACCACCACCACTGTCACCATCATCACCACCACCATCACCATTATCACCACTATCATCACCACCATCACCATCACCACCCCACCACCACTATAACCATCATCACCCTCATCATCCATCTACCATCACCATTATCACCACTATCATCACCACCATCACCATCTGACCACCCCACCACCACTATAACCATCATCGCCCTCATCACCACCATCACCATTATCATCACTATCACCGCCATAACCATCACCACCCACCACCACTATAACCATCATCACCTTCATTATCCATCCACCATCACCATTATCATCACTATCATCACCACCATCACCATCACCACCCCACCACCACTATAACCATCATCGCCCTCATCACCACCATCACCATTATCATCACAATCATCACCACCATCACCATCACCACCCCACCACCACTATAACCATCATCGCCCTCATCACCACCATCACCATTATTATCACTATCACCACCACCATCACCATCACCACCCCATCACAACTATCACCACTATCATCACCACCATCGCCATCGCCACCCCACCACCACTATAACCATCATCACCCTCATCACTACCATCACCATTATCATCACTATCACCACCACCATCACCATCACTATCACCATTATCACCACCACCATCACCACAATCATTACCATCACCACCACCATCATTACCATGGCCACCATTACCATCATCACCACCACCACCACTGCCATCACCACTATCATCATCACCATTATCACCATCATCACTACCATCATCATCATCACTGTCACCATATCATCCTCACCACCATCACCATTATCACCACTATCATCACCACCACCATCACCATCACCACCACCATCACCACCACCATTACCACTATCATCACCACTATCATCACCATCATCACCATCACCACCACCATCACCACATCACAACCATCACCATCTTCATCACCACCATCACCATCATCATCACTATTACCACCACCATCACCACCACCATCATCACCATCATTACCATAACCACCACCACCATTACCGCTATCATCATCACCATTATCACCATCATCACTACCATCACCAACATCATCACTGTCACCATCATCATCCTCACCACCGCCATCACCATTATCACCATTATCATCACCACCATCACTACCACCACCATCATCATCCCCATTATCACCATCATTACTATGACCACCATCACCATCATCACCACCGCCATGATTGCCACCTCACCGTCATCATCATCACCTTCCTAATCACCACTATCATCACCATCATCATCACCTTCATCACCACCATCACCATCATCATCACCACCACCACCACCATCATCATCACCACCACCATCATCATCATCACCACCACCATCATCATCACCATCATTACCATCATTACCATCACCATTATCACCATCATCACCATCATTACCATCACCATCATCATTATCTTCCTAATCACCACTATCATCCCCATCATCATTGCCATCACCATCATCGCCACCACCATCACCACAGTCATTATCATTACCGTCACCATTATCACCATCATTATCGTCACCACCACCATTACCACTTATCAATTACTGTGTCCCAGGCACTACCTTACATTTATATATAATTTAATCCTCTTCACCGTCTAAAGAACTCCTACAACAATATAGTAGTGATGAAACCAGGATTTAAACCCAGATCTGTCTGACTCTAAAGCCTATGCCCTTTACAGCCAAACTATATGCCTTTTGCTCCTATGAGTGTGAGGCTAGCAGAGACCCAGATTGAGAAAGATCCCCTTGGACTAGAGGCAGGGGCACTTGGAGATGGCACAGCACAGAGGTCTGAATCGCAACTTCACCACAATCCCACTTACCTAGATCTCAGGTAGGCATTTTAGCATCTCTAAGCCTCCATGTCCTAGTCTGTAAAATGGGGATAATAACTCCTAGGGCAGTTGTGAGAGTTAAAACAATACCCACCAGAGTACCTAGCATCATGCCTGGCACACAGTCAGTGTTCAGAATTATTACTACTATGATTTAAGATTCCCCAGCACATAAGGACCAGGGGCAGTGGTGGCCCAGAGTAGAAAGCTAGATGCTCAGCAAGGGGCTAAGAGACCTCACTGCCCCTGGACCTATCACCAGCCCACCTCTGCTCATAGGCCTGAGAAGATTGCTCAATGGCCAAGTTCATGGTTTTCTTCTGCATCAACAGGCACTGCTGGAGCTGCTGGTAGACACTGTCATAAGCAGCCTTCTCAAGTCGTAGGTCTTCAATCTCCTTCCGGAGCTTGGCATTAGTGGTCAGCATCTTGTCAAAGTGAACAGTGACCTGTTGAAAAGGCCATGCTTCAAAACAGGTCTCATTTCTGGGGTGTAAGACAAGGTTCCAGAAGGTACCTGGAGGACTGTCAGGTCTTTGCCCATCTCATTCCCAAGGGCCATGGAAGAGTGGTTGGAGCACTAGGCAAGAGGTTCAACTGGTTGGAGTCAGTTGAGTGGCCCACCAACTGGCTAAGGGCCCTTTAGTGGATCCTTTTTACTGTATCTCAAATTCCTCAACTACTTTTAGACCTAACTTCCAGTTTTAGGCAATTAACAGAGGAGAGGGGAACAAGCTAAATGACACCATAGGAAATAATAAGCCAAACTGAGAAGGTATTAATAGAACTTTCTACAGGACAATTGACTTGGACTCCTCAACAAATTGATAGCATGAAAAAAAAATGGGGTGGGGCTGTTTTCATACAGGGTTTCTCAAACTCAGCACCACTGGCACTTTGGGCTGGATGACTCTTTGCAACAGGGGGCTGTCCTATGCTTTGTGGGATATTAAATACCCCCTACATTCAGGTGGCACCCTCACCTCCAACCCTGTTATGACAACCAACAGTGTCTCCCTTAGGAGACAACGTCCCTTTGGAGGCAAAATCACCCCCAATTACTGAGCCTTAAAAAAGGAGACTCTGCCATTTGCCACAACATGGATGAAACTGGAGGACATTATGCTAAGTGAAATAAGCCAGACACAGAAAGAAAAATATTGCATGATCTCATTTATATGTGGACTCTAAACAAAAAAAAAAAAGTCAAGGCTGGGTGCAGTGGTTCACGCCTGTAATCCCAGCACTTTGGGAGGCTGAGGCAGGTGGCTCACCTGAGGTCAGGAGTTTGAGAACAGTCTGGCCAACATGGTGAAATCCCATCTCTACTAAAAATACAAAAATTAGACAGGCGTGGTGGTGGGCACCTGTAATCCCAGCTACTTGGGAGGCTGAGGCAGGAGAATCACTTGAACCTGGGAGGTAGAGGTTGTAGTGAGCCGAGATCACACCACTGCACTCTAGCTTGGGTGACAGCATGAGACTCAGTCTAAAAAAAAAGGCTGGGCGTGGTAGCTCATACCTGTAATCCCAGCACGTTAGGAGGCCGAGGTGGGCGGATTACGAGGTCAGGAGATCGAGACCATCCTGGCTAACACAGTGAAACCCCGTCTCTACTAAAGAACACAAAAAATTAACTGGGCATAGTGGCAAGCGCCTATAGTCCCAGCTACTCGGGAGGCTGAGGCAGGAGAATGGCGTGAACCCAGGAGGCAGAGGTTGCAGTGAGCCGAGATTGCGCCACTGCATTCCAGCCTGGGCGACAGAGCAAGACTCCGTCTCAAAAAACAAAACAAAACAAAACAAAAAAGAGGCAAATATACAGAGATAGAGAATAAAAAAGTGGTTACCAGGCGCAGGTGGGGTGAAGGGGAAAGGGAGCAGGGAGACGGAGGTCAGAGGATAGCAAGTAGCAGATATGGAGGAGGAGCAAGTCTAGAGCCCTAAGGTACAACATGAGGACTCCAGGGACTCTGACTGTACTGTATTTGGGGTGGGTGCAGTGGTTCATGCCTGTAATCGCAACACTTTGGGAGACCAAGATGGGTGGATCACCTGAAGTCAGGCATTTGAGACCAACATGGTGAAACCCTGTCTCTACTAAAAATACAAAAAATTAGCTGGGCGTGGAGGTGGGCACCTCTAATCCCAGCTACTCAGGAGGCCGAGGCAGGAGAATCGCTTGAACCTCGGAGGCGAAGGTTGTGGTGAGCCAAGATTGTGCCACTGCACTCCACCCTGGGGGACACAGCCAGATTCTGTCTCCAAAAAAAAAAAAAAAAAAATTGTACTGTATTTGGGATTCCTGCTAATGTGCAGATTTTAGAGGTTCTTGCCACAAAACCAAAAATGGGTAACTATGTGAGATAACAGATATATGAATTTGCTTCACTATAGTAACCACTTTAATATCTATATGTATCCAATGATATATTATATACCTTAAATATACGCAGTAGAATTTAGTTTTTATTTTTATGAAATAGGATCTTGCTCTGTCAACCAGCTGGAATGAAGTAGTGCAATCACAGGCTCAAGCAATCCTCCCAGCTCAGCCTCCCGAGCAGCTAGAACTACAGGTGCAAACCACCATGCTGGGCTATTTTTTTGTATTTTTAGTAGAGACAGGGTTTCACCAAGTTGCCCAGGCTGGTCTCGAACTCCTGGGCTCAAATGATCCTCCCATCTCAGCCTCCCAAAGTGCTTGGATTATAGGTGTGAGCCACCACACCCAGTCTATCTTTTTTTTAATAAAATAATTTTTAAAGTTTTTTTAAAAGACCATGTGAAGTGCTCCCATAAGCATTGAGAAGAAACAACTCCAAAAAAAATATTCCTAACAGCAAAGGGATTTAATTTCTTTGGAGGTTTTCAAAGTATGTTCTAAGAAACATTTGGTTTCTGTAGGGCCAACACTGGGGTAAAGCAAGTGAGGCAACCAGGGCATGAAATTTAAGGAGGCACTCTCTCTCAGGTGCCAGCCCTGTGATTCCTCAAGCCTGAGCAGGCCTGAGCTCTTTGCTTGCTTCTGCTAGTCTCAGCTCCGGGTGTTCCTGAGTGTCTCCACAGCCACCACACAAGGTAGGGGAGTCCCTAGGAGCAGAGCATTCTGATTCTATCTTTGCATCCTCCACTTCCTCTTGGGAAGTTATCAGTTATCAGTTATTTGCTCTTTACTGTGAATTTTGCTCCAGGACTGTAGGCATACTATCTATCCTCTGACTGTGGGGGAGAAAGACCTGACCTAGGGGGAGGACAGTTATCAGTTATCAGTTATTGGCTCTTTACTGTGAATTTTGCTCCAGGACTGTAGGCATACTATCTATCCTCTGACTGTGGGGGGGAAGACTTGACCTAGGGGGAGGACTCTCAGGCCCCACTGAGTAGGTGGAGGATATTTAGGACCATGGGGGTACTCTGAGACCCCGAAATCACCTTTAGAGATGGCTGCCTAACCTTTTTCTTTTTTTCTTTCTTTTCTTTTTTTTTTTTCTGAGACAGGTTCTCACTCTCTCATCCAGATCCAGACTGGAGTGCAGTGGCACCATCTCGACTCACTGCAACTCCGCCTCCTAGATTCAAGAAATTCACCTGCCTCAGCCTCCCAAGTAGCTGGGATTACAGGCATGCATCATCATGCCCAGCTAATTTTTATTTTTTATTTTTATTTTTGTATTTTTAGTAGAGGCAGCGTTTCACCGTGGTGGCCAGGCTGGTCTCAAACTCCTGACCTCAAGTGATCCACCCACCCTGGCCTCCCAAATTGCTGGGATTACAGGCATGAGTTACCACACCAGGCCAGCTGCCTAACCTATTTAAAGGCACAATCACATCTGGTTAGGGATGAAGGGAAGAGGGGACTAGTTTGAGATGCAAAAATCAGACCTCTCAGAAATATAAAAAGGAGCATTACTACAGATCTTATGGAAAAACTACAAGGGATATACTAGGAACAACTATATACCAACAGATTAGGATAATTTCGATGAAATAGACAAATTCCTAGAAAGACACAAACTACTGAAATTGATTTGAGAAGAATAGAACATCTGAATAGACTTAGAACAAAAAAGCAGACCTCTGAGGCTGCAGTGAGCCATGATCATGCCACTGCACTCCAGCCTGAGTGACAGAGTGAGACTCTGTCTCAGAAAAAAAAAAAAAAAAAATTGTACCTATAGACAAGTCATCATTAAATCATGCATGCATTTAGTAACTCATTCAATCAACAGACATTTGCTGAGGCATTAAACACCATGCCAGGCATTACATCTATGATTCTTAACCAATGGGATCTTCAGTCTTTCTGGGTTTGCTGATAACGGTACAGATGCCTGAACCTACGCCCTGGAGGTTCTGATTTGGTGAATCCGGAGGGGATCCAAGAATCTGTATTTTTAACACATATCCTGGGAATCCTGAGGCACAGCTGCAAATCACTGGGCATGGATATTAAAAAGACACTGCCCTGTCCTTCAGCAGCAACTTGGGGAGGTATACAGAGATCAGATCCAGTTAGCTCCCACCATGCCTGGTCAAAGCCTGGGGGTCAAAGTCCAGAGGAAGCTAGGAGCTTTGTTTAGTGAGGGAATGACAGGCTTTCTTCCAAATCCATTCACTTTCTCTCTCTAGTAGCTCACGTGGGAGCTACAGTTTCACAAACCAGACTGGAATGTGTTGTTTGTCCCTGTCCGTCATTCCTTCTCCACTCTTTTTGCTTTTCCAGGGGAACCACCTCTCCTCTAATCCACATATTTTGTATAGGGCTGCCCTTCCCTGACTTGGGGTGCCAGTGGGTGGATCTGGGAGAGAGGGGCCCCAGGGTAGCCTTGTGACTCAGGCCCATGTATTTCATCCTTCTGACCACCGTGATTGGTTCAGAAATGGGCACATGACCCAAGTTGGCCCAGTGGGAACTCTCCCCAGAATATGTGATTAAACTCTTAGGAAAAAGATGTTTCATTTCTACTAGCATTTGTTCACACTGGAGGCTACCCAAAAACGAAATCCACTCAGAGGAGAGATGGACAGAGAATATGTCTTAAAGACATGTATGGAGCACCTAGATCCAGCTATGCCTGAAGGCCCCACTTCCTCTTCTGGATCTTTCAATTCTATGACAAACACATTCCCCTTTTTGCTTAAGCCAGATTGCAATTTAGGGAACCCTGCTTAATACAAAAGTCACTATAGGTTGAGGGTGATCAGTGTCACCTTTCCCATTATCAAGTTATGCATATCTATGCCGACTAATTCTTAGAGACAACACCAACAACAAAAAGGCACTGGATATGACAGAGGCATGAGCAGCTTGTCACGGAGGAGGAAGGTCTAACTAATGCTGCTTTGGTAATGGGTAATATTTGAGCTGCTTCTTGAAAACAAACAGGAAGTTTGGGGCAGAGAACTAAGAGTAGGCATCCCACGTAGGTTGGGGGATTCGGGTAAGGGTTTGAGGGGATAACCACATTTGCTAAGGTGGACGGTAAATCCTAAAGGCTTCCTGGCATGTGTGTCCATTAGTTCACCTGCTCCTGAGTCAACCAGGGAAATGGGTATGTTCTGCTAATGACTGGGCAGACATCATTCTTTGCTCAGAGCAAAGTCGGGCAGAGCTGTTTGCAGAGCTGCAGAGAACACCTTACATACGAGATTCAAACGGGTTTCCAAAATGTGAATCTGTTTCTGCAGTTTCCGGGGGTTATTGGCCTCCTGTATTTTTGTGAAAATCTGTTTTTGGTTTGCGATTTTTTTTTCCATCTCAACAATCTGAAAAAAAAAAAGAGAGAAAGAGAAAGAGAGAGAGAAATTCCAGCTGTGTTAGCATCTGTATGGGTACCAGTTCTACAGTTCACTAACTGAAGTGTGCTCAGACAAAAACTGCAATGTTCTTTCTTTTCCTATAAATAGAATTTTAACTTATCTCTTGGATGCCTCCTCAATTAGACTGAATCTTAGCCAGTCTGGGGTACAATGAAGCAATCTGGAGATCTGCTGTCACCTGTGCATGTAAATATCACTCACCTGTGACATTTACATACATTGACATACATTCTGCCTACCCAAAGCCATGGTTTCCAGCAGAAATGACGTCGTCCTCCTCCGAGGGGCTTTCTGTAACCTTGGAGAAGTGATTTTTTGGCTCTTGCAATGATGAAGGCACTAGTGGCATGTAATGGGTGGGTCACGAGAGGTCACATACCCTGCAGCATGTGAGATAGCACCAGGCATCCAAGACTTATCCTCCATCCTTGTGACTTCCCAGTGCCCCTCTGGACATTACGTAGATGAGAGACCTCCTTATATTTTTATTTTCTTTTGAGACTTTCTTTTTTTGAGACAGGGCCTCACTCTGTCGCCCAGGCTGGAGTGCAGTGGCACAATCTCGGCTCACCACAACCTCCGCCTTCCAGGTTCAAGCGATTCTCCTACCTCAGTCTCTCGAGTAACTGGGACTAAAGGCGTGCACCACCATGCCTGTCTAATTTTTTTTGTATTTTTAGTACAGACGGGGTTTTGCCATGTTGGCCAGCCTGGTTTTGAACTCCTGGCCTCAAGTGATCCACTTGCCTCAACATCCCAAAGTGCTGGGGTTACAGGCATGAGCCACTATGCCTGGCTCCTTTTCCACATCTGGTCAAAAAAGATAGTTTGATTCTAGGTACAGAAAATTTGGCCAGCATTTTGGGAGGCCAAGGTGGGAGTATCACTTGAGCCCAGGAATTTGAGACCAGCCTGGACAACAAAGTGAGACCCCCCATCTCTACAAAAAAATCTAAAAATAGTCAGGCATGGTGGCATGCACTTACAGTCTCAGCTACTTGAGAGGCTGAGACAGGAGGATCACTTGAGCCTGGGAGGTCAAAGCTGCAGTGAGTCATGATTGAGTCACTGCACTCCAACCTGAACGGATCAAGACCCTATCTTAAAAAACAAACAAACAAACAAACAAAAACCAACTATCTTTTCTACGTACACACACAGAATTTTCCATTCAATTCTAATAGACACTGAACTATCCGGGACTGTAGTCACTGTATCAATTAAGAGAAGATTATTCTTTGATTTGTTTGTAACTTTACTAAGAGTTGGTCACCATTCTGAAAATCACATCACCAGCACAGCCTGAATCATGTTCTTCAAGTTGTGGATACAGTCGGCCTGCATCTGTCTGCAGTGTGTATAATGTTTGGTGATTCTGCCTATCAGTACAGGCCTCTGATTGCAGTTTTTAGGCCAGGGGTCTGCAAACTCCAGCCCGTGGCCAAATCTGGCCCACTACCTGTTTTTGTCAATAAAGTTTTATTGAAACCCAGCCATGCCCCTTCATTTATGTATTGTCTATGGCTGCCCTCGAGCTACAAAGGCAGAGCTAAGGACTTGTAAGAGAGACCATGTGGCCCACAAGGCCAAAATATTCACTATCTGGTTCCCTGCAGAAACAGTTTGCTGATCCTGTTCGAGGTGAGTCAGATGAGGACATTCACATATTAAAATAAACATCATTTTAGTACAAATAATTTTTATTTCTTCTTTATATTATAATTAAGGCATCATATTGATTTTAAAGCATAAGTAAAGGGAAAATATTCTATCATTTATGGATTTCATTTCAGGATTGTAAAGGGATAATTATTTGCTGTTGAAAAGGGTGTTGGCAGACATAATGTTGAATGAAAAAAGCCAGTTATAAAGTGCATATCCTGGAAGAGGTGATTTACATGCAATTCTATATGCAGACAAAACAAAGTTATGATGCCGGAGATCAGGATGAGGTTCCTTGGGGGTGGTTTGCGAAAGAGACCAAGGAAGTCTTCTGGATGCTGCAATAATCTACCTCTTGAACTTGGTGATGATTACCTGAGTGTATACTTAAGTATCAGTTCATTGAGCTGTATCCTTAAGACATGTGCATCTCACCATGTGTAATTAACAACTCAGCAGAAGAAGAAAGGGAGGAAGAAAGAAAGGAAAAGAAATGGGTGTTAGAGGCCGGGCATGGTGGCTCACGCCTATAACCTCAGCACTTTGGGAGACTGAGATGAGTGGATCACTTGAGGCAACATGGGAAACCCTATCTCCTCTCTTTTTTTTTTTTTTTTTTTGAATGGATCTTTGCTTTGCACAATTGGTCACTACAGACCTCTGTCTCCTGGGTTCATGCAAATTCCTCCTCCTCTGCCTCAGCCTCCCAAAACTGGGATTACAGGCAGTGCACACCACACCTTGCAAGTTTGTATTTTAGTAAGACAAGTTTCACCATATTGCAGGTCGGCCTTGAACTCCTGACCTCAAGTATCCACCCACCTCAAGCCTCTCCAAAGCTGGGATACGGTTGAGCACACCACAGCTCGCACTGGAAACTGTCTCTTTCTAAAAATTACAAAAATACCAGGTGTTGCAGCGCCCGTAAATCCCAGCTACTTGAGGCTGAGCACGAAATCAACTTGAACCCTGGAGAGGAAGTTCAGGAGCGAGATCACAGCACGGGCACCTCTGGTCTCTCTGTGACAGAAGCAAGGCTCGTTAAAAAAAAAAAAAAAAAAAGAGAGAGAGAGAGAGGAAGGAGAGAAAGAGGGAGGGAGGGAAGGAAGGGAAGGAAGGAAAGGAAAGGAAAGAGAGAGAAAGGGAGAAATAGGTGTTATGGGTTTTGGGAGTGATAGGTTTAAGAACCACTGTCCTAAAGGGATCCACAAACGGGCTGTGTATTTGGGAGGTCCTTTCCTGCTTGTAAGTTTGGCATTCACAGATTCAAAGTCTCGGGGTGGAAACTGAGGCAAAGCCACTGGGCTTAGAGAGGTCGAGGTCCTTGGTGACCCCAGAGAAAGCAGTTTCAGTGGAGATGACTTCTTCCCATCACCACGGATGGAGGTGGAAATAACACCTGCCCAAGAAAGGGAAGCAGGGAATGTAGACGAGTCTTTCTAGAAATTTCTAGAAAGGGGGAAGCTGGCAATAATTTGGGATTGCAGGTGGGTTGTGTTTTAAGTTTCATTTGTGCTCAGTTTTCAGGTTATTTTGAGATAAAAGAGGCAAGGGAGGGATACCTTGACAAAACAGAAGGTGAAGATGAGAGCAGGGCTGTCATTGATGGAGCAAGGTCTTTCTGTAATAATGGGGGATGTGACTGAGGGAGGCCTAACACAGGAGGGGTCTGGCCTTACAGAAAGGCAATGGGACACCTCTCCCTCTGAGGCAATGCAGATGGAGCAGAGGATGGAGGGCTGCATCCTCTTGGGGTGCAGGGAAAAGCATGGCTGCCACAGTCTTTTAAAGCAGATGAAACAACACTGAGGCCACCTACATCCAGAGGACTTTTTGCTAAGTAAAATGTAAATAACCTAAATGCAAAGTGGTGTCCTGGATTAGATCCTGGGACAGTAAAAGGACATGAACGGAAAACACCAGTGAAATCCCAATAAAGGGCCGGGTGTGGTGCCTCATGCCTGTAATCCCAACACATTGAGAGGCTGAGGCAAGTGGATCAGCTGAGGTCAGGAGTTTGAGACCAGCCTGGCCAACATGGTGAAACCCCATCTCTACTAGAAATACAAAAATTAGCCAAGCATGGTGGTGGGCACCTGTAATTCTAGCTACTCAGGAAATTGAGGCAGGAGAACTGCTTGAACCTGGGAGGTGGAGGTTGCAGTGAACTGAGATCATGCCATTGCACTCCAGCCTGGGCGACAAGAGCGAAACTCCATCTTAAATAAAGAAACTCCAAGCGGCCAGGCACAGTGGCTCACACCTGTAATCCCAGCACTTTGGGAGGCCGAGGCGGGTGGATCATGAGATCAGGAGATTGAGACCATCCTGGCTAACACGGTGAAACCCCATCTCTACCAAAAATACAAAAATCAGCCGAATGTGGTGGCATGTGCCTATAATCCCTGCTACTTGGGAGGCTGAGGCAGGAGAATCGCTTGAGCCCAGGAATCAGAGGTTGCAGTGAGCCAAGATCACCACTGCACTCCAGCCTGGCAACAGAGCGAGACTCTGTCTCAAAAAAAAAAAAAGGAAGAAAAGAAAAGAAAAGAAACTCCAGTAAAAACTGGAGTTCAGTTAAGAGTAACATATCAACATTCATTGCTTAGTTTTGACAAATGTCCCATGGTAATGTACAATGTTTACATTAGGGGGAGCTGGGTGAAGGGTATGTGAGAACTATATTATCTTTGTAATCATTCTGTAAATTTTAAAGTATGCCAAAATAAAAAGCTTATTAAAAATAATTGATAAATAAATATCCTTTTGTCCAAGCCTCTCTTGGTTGGGTATTATGTCACTTGCAGTCAAAAACATTCCTGACACACCATCCACTTTACTCATTAGGATGACTGAGTCTGACTTCAAATAAGTGAAATCTACCCTGTCATGGCTGGCAGGAAAAAATGTTAGTGTCTCTCTATACCCTCGTAATGCCAGCCCAGTTCTCCAGACCCAAACGCTCCCCAGCCATTGTCCCAGAAACTTCACTCCATAGTTTCTCATGAGGCATTCAGAAACACTGCTAGCAGTGTACATAACCAGCCCGTGATGCAGCCTTCGCCCACACCCAGGCAAATATCTTCATTATCGATATTTAACCCCATCTAGAAGCAGATGGCTAATGTTAAGTCCCAGAAGGCCTTAGAGAAGTTCCAGAACTAGTATCTAAAGAACAGTGCCCTTCAAGACTGGTAAGTACCAGATCCTAAGCACAACAGAGGCACATTCTCTTCTTGGAGGCTGGGCTGAGCCTAAGCTCTGAATGTCTTTTTGGAATCCTG